TAATTTGCCCAAGGCACAGAAAAATTGTAGGAATGAGAAATACAGTGGGGCCTTGACTTACGAGTTTAATTCGTTCCATGATGGAGCTCGTAACTCAAATTACTCGTATGTCAAATCAAAAAGTGAACGAGTGAAACACATGATGCTGGGCTGATGTGGCGTTCACTGTGACATTCACTGCGCCAACTAGCGGTGGGGTATCTGAAGCTGTCTCGTAACCCGAATTTTAGCTCGCAACTCAAAGCAAAAAATCGGCCGAGAGACGGCTCGTATCTCGAAAAACTTGTTAGTCGGGACACTCGTAAGTCAAGGCCCCACTGTACCAAGTATCCTGCAAATGTTAATATAAGACAATGGGAATCAGGTGATCATCAAAGAGCTACTAAGGAAACTAGCAGTTGCTGGCAAATGAGTCATGCCTGGGCCTGTAAGCCTTGTGAATTCAGCCATGGTGACTTTGGGAAACTAAAAGTCCCTCCGATAGGAAGATGGGGGGAGAGGGCTTACGGAAACAAGAGTCACAAAGGACCTGAGGATAGGTGCTCCATAAAAAGAATTCAACAATAGTTCACAATAAAAATATGCTCATATTTATGGAATTCATCTCTCACATTTTATGAAATATTAATGACATTTTCTCAGAAAGACATGAGAAAGAAACACCTAGAAAGAAAAAAAAAACAAGTTTGCAACTTGTTGCCACAGATATATCTTTTAAAAAATCCATTTTAAAGCTTGCCAACTGACAGATGAAATTATCATGAAAAATGAGAGTGAGGTTGACAAGGACAAAGTGTAAAAGCTGCTAACCAACACTGTTCGGCTAGCCTCCCACTCATTCTCTCTTGGTAGTTCAATCGACACATCAACAGCATTTAAAAAAATTTAAAAAACCCTCACGAACAGACTATATTAATGCTAAATTTTTTTAAAAAAATTCTCACTGGAGGATATGTTTTTATTGATAGAGAATGAGAGAGAGAGAGAGAGAGAGAGAGAGAGAGAGAGAGAGAGAGAGAGAAATACCAATGTGACAGAAACATTGATCAGTTGCCTCCCGTACACACTCTGACCAGGCATGGAACCCACAACCTAGATATGTGCCCTGACTGGGAATTGAACCTGTAACCTTTTGGTGTGCAGGACGACAGTTCAACCAACTGAGCAACCTGGCCAGGGTTAATGCTAAATTTAAATTTTCACTACAGAAAATATATTAATGATAAAGGGTTAAGTGGACTTTAAAAAACCTCCAAAAGTAATGATTTATTAGAAGGGGGAGTTGATTAGCGACCAGCCTTTGGCATATAGGTCCCTTTCAAGATCTGAGTAAGATCAGGAGAACACTGAAGATCTGTATGAAGTAGGTGTTCTGGAGATTGGCAATTTGTAGCTCTTCTCTTTGATTGTAAGGTGGCAGAACCCCCATTGTTGGAATTGGACAGGTAGAGGGGCCTCCTGCCTGTTTTAGTATTTGCCCTTCTTGCACCTCTGTTTTACCTCTACAATTTCTCCAGAATGACATGCTTCATGCTTGCCTGTGTGACACAAAAGCCCCAGCAAGTGTGAAGCAATCTCAAGGCAGTCTTTTCAACTAGAAATTTGTGGTGAAATCAGAAAAAGGAAGTCTTTGGATTCTCATTATTATACTAGAGGCCTGGTGCACGAAATTCATGCATAGGAGGGGGTCCCTCAGCCCAGCCTGCACCCTCTCGCAATCCAGGACCTTTTGGGGGATGTCCGACTGCCGGTTTAAGCCCAATCCCGCTGGCTCCTAACTGCTCACCTGCCTGCCTGATCGCCCCTAACCACTTGCCCAGCTGCCGGATTATGCCCCTAAAACTCAAGCTTCTTTTTTTTTTAATTTTTAATTTTTATATTTCTTATTTATTTTTTATTTTAAAGGCCAAGCTTCTTGAGAACATGAGGCATTTAACATTATTCCATATTCCTTACAGAGAGCTAAGCATGGTAAACACAGCAAATACTTAATACCTATGGGCTTCTATACAAACACTTTCCAATCAGAAATGTTTTAATAGGCAGTCTCCAAAAACTTGAACTGGAAAACCTAAAAGTAGAGTGCTCAGATTTCAGGCATCAGGCGCTATTAGCAGGATTTCTAGCCCAATCAAACTCTAATTCTTAGCTCTCAATGGTCTGGACAAAAAGCCCTTCACTGTCTCCAAAGTTTCTTATTTGTCACTATCTCATTTTCCTTTTTTTAAAAAATTTTTTTAGTTCAAGGTTTTATATCCACATCAGTATCAATGTACCATATAAAACCCACCTGCGAGCCTAGCTGGTTTTTGGGACAAAACCAGGGTTCTTGTCCCAAAAGAGGAGAAAATGGGTTTACAGTCAAGGAAATAAAATCAGAACCTAACATGATCAAGGAGAAGCCTTGAGCCGAGACCGGTTTGGCTCAGTGGATAGAGCGTCGGCCTGCGGACTGAAAGGTCCCGGGTTCAATTCCGGTCAAGGGCATGTGCCTGGGTTGTGGGCACTTCCCCAGTGGGGGATGTGCAGTAGGCAGCTGATCGATGTTTCTCTCTCATCGATGTTTCTAACTCTCTATCTCTCTCTCTCTTCCTCTCTGTAAAAAATCAATAAAATATATTTTAAAAAAAAAAAAAAAAAAAAAAAAGGAGAAGCCTTGAAATTGCGTCGAGTGGAGGTGCTGTGGGCAGCGGTACATCTCTTCTGGCCCAGCAGTACCTGCAGCAGCCTCGGTTCCTGGGAAGCCTGGGGTTAGATAGAGCCCAGCTCTTGAGGTTATCTAATGTAATAAAGAGGGAATATGCAAGTTGACTGTCACACCGTCACAAAGATGGTGGTGCCCATGGCCACAAGATGGCGGCGCCCAGTCCCCTCAGCCCCGCCAGAGTCCCCCAGTCCTTTCAGCTCCGCTGGGGGGGGGGGGATTGGCAGGAGAGTGGTGTGGCCAGACCCACCCTCAGCCCCCCAGTTGCCCAGGGCCGCCTGAGGCTCAGGTAACCAGGGCCAGCCGAGGCTTGTGCTGCCGGCAGTGGCAGCAGCAGAAGTGTGATGGGGTGTTGCCTTCCCCTGATCGCCAGGTTGCCTCCTGCCCTTGAGGGCTCCCAGACTGTGAGAGGGGGCAGGCCTGGCTGAGGGACCCCCGTCCAGTGCATGAGTTTTCATGCACCAGGCCTCTAGTTTTTAATAATTTTGCTTTTGGGGGAGCAGGGCTTCTGGGCAGCAGTTCCATGTGAGGGTAACTGGTGTGGGTTTCACTTTAGGGTTTGGAGGGGAAGATGGGTTTGTGGGGTGGGACCTGCCTGGCCCCAAATATCACAGCTGAGGTTCTTGGAAGTGGCCCAGTGAAGTTCCTTCCTGCTCTGTCCTCAGGTGTATGGCTTAAAAATCAGGGCACCAGGCTGGGGCTAAGCACCTCAGGGGCCTTTGTAAACATGGCAGGTACAGGCAGGGGGAGCTTGGGGGAACTGAAGGAACTGGTGGGGGAAGCCAGAGCCAGGGGAGGGCAGTGCCCATGGGGAAAGGGGGCATGGGGTGGAGGAGGTATGCACCTTTAACAGAGACTTAGAGGTACAGAGACTAAGAGAGACAGAGAGGACAGAGATGGGGATAGAAAGAGAGACAGGAAGAGAAAGACTCAGAGAAAGCAAGAGAGAGAGTGAGAAAGAGAAAGATTCACAAAGAAGAGAGACAGATAGACAGAAAGATGGGGTCCTGCTCTGTATGAGTCAGCGGGCTGTGTGTGTGTGTGGGGGGGCAGGCCCAAGGCCTGGGGCTCCCACGGGATGTGCCAGTGTGAGGGTAAGTGCATCGTTGTGTTGCATGAGGGAGGCGTGCTGGTCATGCAGCACCAGCTCCTCCAGAGACCCGTACAGGTTGTAGGGCTCCGCAGAACCCAAGCCAGTGGCCCTGTGGTAGATGACACAGTGCTGGGCATCTCCATCCACCACCACAGAGCAGGCATAGCAGCCCCGCTGGCTGCTCTCAGGGATGAAGAAGGTACATCCCGCTTGCCGTTCAGCATTTCCTCAGCCTGCGTGTGGCTGATCTTCCCCACATACCAGGTTCCTTCCTCAAGGTGGGGGAGGTCATCCTCATCCTCCATCAGTGCGTACTGGTCTTCAGTCTCATTTTTGATTCCCAGCCACTCCTTGATTTTCTTCTGCCGGGCGCCTTTCTGGGTGAGCCATAGCAGGTACTGGTCTCCGATCGTGCGCAGCTGCATGAGGTCTGGCTTCAGGCTGTTCATGTGCTTCTGGATCTCCCGGTTGTCCAAGGTCTGTGTCCACAGCTCCTGTTCCAGCTTCATGCGGCTCTTGTGGATCTCGGCGGTGCGAGACTTGGGCCGTTCTGAGTTGAGCAGGATCCTCTGCATCTGTTTTTCATTGCCCTCTTGGCCCTCACGCCGGAAGCGCTCCAGACACTCCTTGCTGCACTTCTCTTGAGTCTGGCCCTGCTCTTTGACGATCTTATGGTTTCATTGAAGGCTTTGATTGCCGTGCGCTTCATCTGCAGTTCCTGGGAGGTGCGTGTGTACTCCTCATAGACCTGGTCGTACTCGTGGCTCCTGTCCTCCGCTTCAAACCAAGGTCACAAACGAAACCTTTAATTCTGATCTTCCTCGCTGCAAGGGAACAGCAAACCTCAACAGAGATAATTTCCTGCCAGAAGTCACATTGAGGACTACAGGGCTGACTATGTACATGCGCTAGAACAGGCTCACATTCTAGCGGTAGGCGCCAAGGCGTCCTCCACAATCCCACAATCCTCTGGTGGCCCAGCCGTCCTCCACAATCCCACAATCCTCTGGTGGTCCAGGCGTCCTCCACAATCCCACAATCCTCTGGTCGCATACTTCCGGCTTTTCTAGCTCCTCCTTAGGTGGTGTTGAGTGGCAACGTCCAAGGCCTCTAGTTGGAGAGGATTTTTCTGTTCTTTGAGGTTGCCAGCTGTTTACTATTTGGAATCAGTGATGTTTCGGGAGTCCTGCCGCTTCCATGACCATGCCGGTCCCAGGCGCGCTCATGAAACCACCGCCCATTCAGTCCACAGCTGGCGCCGTCCTGGTTCGAAATGAGAAAGGCACTGTGCTGAGCCATTTCCCAGTCGGGGCTTCCTCTTCCTTCCCCAGCACACTCCACACCTACTCCGGCCGGCTGACCACCCTAACCCCGTAGACGCTTAAGACCTTCCCCTCTATTTCTTCGACTTTCCCCCATCAAACTCGCACCCTATCGCGTTGCCTAGGGGTGCCCCTAACCGCTCCCTGGGAGGTGTGTGTGTGTGTGTGTGGGGGGGGGGGGGGGCGCGGGGGGGGGGGCCAGCCTGGGCGAGGGGCCTGGTGTTCTGGTCTCTGGTCCCTAAGGTAGCTGGCTTTTTAAATATGCTGGTATAGACATCATTACATAGTAATACTAGTGGCTACAATTTATTATTGAGTGTTATGCATGTGCGAGGCAGTGTACTCGGTCCTTTAATATATTATCTCATTTCATTCTCATGTGATAGATGAGAAACCAGAAGCCTAGAGAGGTTACAGGATGGGTCCGGGCTTGTGATGTTGGTGGGGGCTGGGATCCGAAGCTGGGCCCCACCGTGTAAGATCTAAGAACCCAGGCTCAGCCCTGGCCGGGTGGCTCAGTTAATTGGAGCGTTGTCTTATGCACTGAAAGGTTGAAAGGTTGAGGGTTTGATTCCGGTCAAGGGTGAGTACCTGGGTTGCAGGTTCGATCCCCAGTTCCGGTGGGGTGCCTATAAGGGGCAACCAATCAATGTGTCTCTTTCACATGGATGTTTCTCTCTCCTCTCTCTCTCCCCCTCCCTTCCACTCTCTCCAAAAATCAATGGAAAAAATATCCTTGGGTGAGGATTAAAACAAAACAAAATAAAAACACACACAAGAAAAACAACCCAGGCTCAGGGATCAAATGACTTGGGTTTACCACTTTTGCTTGTGTAACTAGGGGCAACACCTGTAAACAAGGAGTAAAACGTGGTAGCTACCTAGTTTATTCAGTAAGTTGCATGTAACCAATATGCAAAAGCCCACGTTCTTGACCAGTTCACCAAACTCCAAATGTGAAGCAAGAGCCTGTGCTGGGAGTGCAAAAGGAGATTGTATTTTACTTTTTTCTTTTACACAAAAATTAGTTAAGTTTGAGGTTTTAATTACATTTTGGTTTTAAAAAATGAACAAACTACCACAGAATTTTCTCTTAAGAAATTGTGTTTTAAATGTACATAAGTGATATATTAATACAACCTGTTGTAAAAACAACAAAACCAAACCATGAAACAGAAATGCTTACAATAAAAAAGCCGAAGTTCCTTTTTAATCCATTCTAACTCTACCTTTCCTCTATCCCAGAGACAACCACTGAGAGTCATTTTTTGTGTGTAACATTCTAGATTGTTTTGTGGGCATTTTTATATGTAGACAAATATGCATCTGTGTCTATTTTTTAACCACAGATGGAATAATATTTGACATAATATTTTTATTTTAATGGCTGCCCTACTAAGTGAAATGCAGACTCCCAATTATGGCAATGAAGACCCTTTATTGTCTGCTTGCCTCCTCTTCCCACATCAACATCCTGACAGGTGCCCTCTCTTCAGGAAAATTACCTGTTATATTCTGAATGAGATCTGGTCACCACTATTTTTATAGATTTGCTATTAATTCCTAGCCTGGAATACCCTCTCCTAGTTTTTCCATCTTTCCAATATTACTTCTCATAAAACTACTAGAAGAAAAAGTAGGCAAAAAACTCGTTGACAGTGGTCTTAGCAATATCTGTTTGGCTATGTCTCCTTGGGCAAGGGAAACAAAAGAAAAAATAAACAAATGGGACTACATCAAATTAAAAAGTTTTTGCACAGCAAAAGAAACCATCAACCGAATGAAAAGATAGCCTACTGGATGGGAAAAGATATTCACAAATGATATATCCAATAAAGGGCTAGCATCCAAAAATATAAGGAACTCATAAACCTTAATAGCAAAAACACACTGCAATCCAATTAAAATATGGGCAGAGGACATAGACATTTCTCCAAAAACAGATGGCAAACACATATGAAAAGATGCTTAACATTATTAATCATCAGGGAAATACAAATTAAAACCACAATGAGATATAACCTCACCCATGTCAGAAAGGCTATTATGAAAAAGTCAAATATCAAGTGTTTCTGAGGATGTGAAGAAAAGGGAGTCCTCGTGAACTGTTGGTGGGATTGTAAATTGGTGCAGCCGTCATGGAAAACAATCTGGAGAATCCTCAAAAAACTAAAAATAGAGCTATCATATGACCCAGCAATTAAACTTCCTCATATTTATCCAGAGAAAATGAATACAACAATTAAAAAAGACATATGTACCCCTATGTTCATTGCAGCTTTATTTACCGAAGTTAAGATACGGAAGCACCGTAGGTGCCCATCAATTGATGAATGGATGAAGAAGATGTGGTATATATATGCAATAGAATATTACTCAGGAATAAAAATGAATGAAACCTTGCTATTTGTGACAACATGCATGGACCTAGAGGGTATTATTCTAAGTTAATTAACTCATACGGACAAGATGAATGTCATATAATTTCATGTATATGTAAAAACTAAAAAACAAAACAAATGAACAGCAACAACAAACAAAACAAAACAAAAAACAGGTTCATAGAAACAGAGATCAAATTGATGGTTGCCAGAGGGGAGGGAGCTGGGGAGGATGGGTGAAAAGGTGAAGGGGAATGTAGTCGATAATGTGATCAGCTTGCACAGTGACAGATGGTTACTAGACTTATGGGGAGATCACAGCATAAGGTATATAAATATCGAATCACTCTATTGTACACCTGAAACTAATATAATGTTGTATGCCAACTCTACTAAAATCAATTTTAAAAAACCAAGTTAGGTGGTTACAGCAAAGAAATAGTGTGGTCAGTTATAAGATTACCATTTATGATTGAGAAGAAAAATGTTCATGAATTTCAGCCACTTTGTAAATAGAAACTGGGTCATATGACAAGATCCAGGGAAGCTCAGTTGGGACAAAGCTGAGCCATGTAACCATGGAAAACAGGTGAATTATTTATAATTTTTATTTATATTAAAGTATATTTAGTTTTTGAATGCCAGGCTAATTTACCAATTATGACAAATTGATGCTGATATTGAAAATTCAAATTTATTGGATGTATCACTGTTAGACTTTAGTGACTATGTTTGACTTAAAATAGATTTACTAAGGAAAACTTTCAAGCAAGTGTGCTTATACTCAGATATTTTTACCTAATAGTCACATTTTAATATTCCTTTAAATCTCATTACAGTAATCTTGCTGGGGTGCTGCTGAATTCTTTGGACTAGAATTTAGGTTTTAAATAAGTGGGTGGTAAGCTGATCTTTGGAGCTCCTTTCTTTATGGTAAAATTTTGAACCTGTGTGATTTTTAAATCAATTCCCCTCTTAATATACCGCTGAAGCCTTTTTCCTCTTTCTATTACTGTTTGCAGATTCAGTATATATAATTTTTTCAGTAACTAATATTTTTGCCTATATTATTTGATCATTAGAGGCTTGAGCATTAATTCCTAATTTTGTGAAGCGTTCTTTGTAAACTGGTATTCAATTATAGAAATAAATTAGTTATTGATGAATATAACCTTCATAACCAGAATGGTGTAGAAACACCCATAACTTTTTCTTTCTCCTTAGCATGTTTAAAAAGCATTAGAATAAATGACCAAGAGCTCACTAAATGTTTATGACTTTGGTTTATGCATGCAGCCTAATGGGATGAAAGGCTAATCTGTCAGTTGGCTCTCACTGCATTTAATTAGCTTGGACCACTTTATACTAGACTGGAAATACCTTATTTCCTTTTCTTTTTCCCAGGACAAAGTAAAATGAACAGTAACAGGAAATGGTTAACTTAAAATCAGGGTTGGTGTAAATGGAAAGAAAAACAAGCTTATTATAGAACACAAAGAGCATCGACAGCCAGCAGCCACTCTTGAAACAGGCCATTTCGACTTTGGGCCATGTTTTCTTCCTTGTGAAAGAAATGGCTGCTCTATTGTCTCTGTGCCATTGCATCAATAACGTCCCGAGTTACACAGCTGTTACAGAGAGAGGTGTATGGGGTTTAGGCAGCAAGATTCATGGGTTCATGTTTCTATATATAGGAAATAAATTCACATGCTTAAATCTAAGTTATGCAGCATTTCATATTTTTGAAATGCTTTGTAATCATTATTAGTTGTTCATGTTACAAATTTGACAACCAACATGTTGTATGAAGTGAAGATACATGGCTATAGATTATGTGGAATAGCAGTTTTTTTAATTGTAAAATTTCAGCTTTATTGAGCTATAATCTATATATACAGTATAAAAGCCTAAGCTACCGGTTGACCATTTGACCAGTCACTATGACGTGCACTGACCACCAGGGGGTAGAAGCTCAATGCAGGAGCTGCCCCCTGGTGGTTAGTGAGCTCCCACAGTGGGGCTGCCATTCAGCTGACCATCAGGTGCCAGATGCTGGGCTCATGGCTGGTGAGAGCAGCTATGGCGGTGCGAACCTCTCCCACCTCCGTGGCAGTGCTACTGAGTGGGGGGCTGGGGGAGTGCGGCGACAGGCACAGCAGGGCCGGGATGAGTGGGAACAGTGTGGCAGCCAGCCCAGGCTTGGGCTCTTCCCTGGCCACCTGCCGCTTCACACACTACTATATCCCTTGGGGGATGTAGGACTGCCAGTTTCCGACATCCCCCGAGGGGTCCCGGAGAGTGCAGGGAGTGCAGGCCAGGCTGAGGGACCCCACCAGTGCACGAATCTGTGCACCATGCCTCTAGCTGACACACAAAATTGTAAGATATTTGAAGTGTACATTGTGGTGATTTGATATATGTTTACATTGTGAAAGGATCCTTTTCCCCCCATTCAGTTAATTAACACATCCATTACCTCACATATTTACTAAAGGTCCAGCGCACGAAATTTGTGTGAGGGTACAGTCCCTAGGCCTGGCCTGGAATCAGGACCATCTTCCCCGGCTGCCCACAGCCGG